CTGGAGTACGCTAACCAAGTTGTCTACTCAGGACGCACGAACGACGTCACCTTATTGAGCGTGTCCAGCGAGTCGCTACGAGAATGGTTACCGGCCGCAAATCCGTGAACCACTAAACGCGTCTCGCGATGCTTGATCTCTTTCCCCTGGTGTATCGACGCCTCCGGGGAGACCTAATTCTTACTTGTGCCCTGTTTGAACAAAGCTTGGCCAACAGGTTTTTCACCGTTGATCCAGCAAACACCCGGCGGGGACATAGGAGAAAATTTTTCAAGCTCAGAGCACACACATTCATTAGACAAAATTTTTTCTGATTTCGGGTAGTAGCTGCGTGGAATGACCTTCCTCCGACCTTCTAGAACCCAGTTTAAAGCACTAATAGACATTTATAAATGCGAATCCTCGCGCTGGCAAGCATACTGCCCCACGCTGAAAACATAAAGATCAGTGAAACGCCCTTTTTCCACTTGTCCCTTTCAAGTGAATGACAGTCACTGACCGACGAGAACAAAGGCGACCCGGGAAACTTGGGCCAAGGCCTCGATCCTGTCTATCAAACCTTGAATCCGTGAATCCGTGAAAGTTTGAACTGAATGCCTTCCTTGACCTTGTGGTCTTTTGATTTCTGCACGGCTTTTTTCGGGCCTCGAAATGCTCTGCTTTCAGCGTGCCTGTCGATTCTCCGTGCAATGTAAGTTTATTGTTTAAGCATATTTCGGAAATAGGTCCCCTGTAAAACATATAAAAGTAGCTTTATCGAAAGTTTAGTGGGTCCGCATCGATTGATGCGACTGGATTCAGTCGCTTGTCGATCCTGATCTCAGCCTCAGGCATGGCTGAAGCAGGGGATTCCGGCTTCGCTGTTTAGCGTGGAGGGTTCTGATGAGGTTGCTAGTACCCATGTTTGAGATCAGTCAAAATGGGCTTGCTGGACAAGACAGTTAGGCCCCACTGGTTGGTTTTGACAGGATAGTGATAATATAGTGTAAATAGCTGAGGACACGATTGGTTCGGTGATAGTTTCTTCTGGTCGTAAATTGGGACTGAGACTGAAGGAATTAGAGTATGATACGGTCAGTTTAACTTTGAGCACGAGATAGCCTAGTGATTTAGGCGCGAGCTTGATGATCAGAAGGTCGGTGATTGGAACCCAAACGTCTCATCTCAACCAGCGCTGCTTAGGCTTGTACAACCCGGAAGTGTCTCAACCCTCAGGCTCCCTTCGGGTGGCACGGCAGCTGTACACTGAGTGTTGCTGAACGATGAGTTTTATAGCATAAACTATTGAGTAAGTGGTCGTGAATATATTGGCCGAGCGTTTAGTCCACAAACTATGCTTATGAGCGGTAGTGTTTGTTGAACAGGGTCTAGTGGTTTTACGGGAAATAAATGAAAATTTATCGTGGCCAGTGGCAAGATTTCGAAGGTAAATAAGAGGCAGCCCCAAAACCCGTGGTATTTAATGGGGACAGGTTCAAACATTAAGCTAGACGGGTGTGGAATTTTGCAGAGTGGACGCTCTTTATGGCTTCGCACTGGACGTTTTCGGGCATGTTTCAGCCGTGGTGCCGAACAGTACCACAATAAGTTAGCAGGAGACATGCGAACCTGAAGAAGGACCTAGTGAAACCGTCCAAGTCGGGGCTTTTGTTTAATGAGGTTCATCATCCTTAACCCGGTCTTGAAGAAGTGAAGCACCATGATTTAAAAAGAAGGAAATCCATATTTCCAAGCTCTTGGTATGACCATGACAGCATGTTCAAAAGGTAGTACGCCGTAAGGCTGGGACGAACTTCGCACGCAAATGTACAAGGTGTTTCCAGGGTTGGTAAAGGGGATTTTGGGGCGCATCAGCGATTTTAATGGACTCAGGCATACGTTTTAGAGCGTAGTTTACGTCTCAGCCACAGAAGCCCCACAGGACTGTAGTATTTTGTTAAGAGGCTATCGAACGTGGGACAAAGCACGATGATGTTTTAGTGATGTAAACTGGGTATAGGTCTGTTCACCCTCCTGGATCAGTGGAGGACCATCATAGGAGGCGGCGAGGTGGCTCAAGTGGTTAGAGCGCGAAATTACTGACCAGAAGGTCCGTGGTTCGAACCCGAACTCCGTCTCTCAAATTCCCCTGTCTAGGCTTGGGCAACCTGGCAGTATCCCAGCCCTAGTACTTCTTCCGGGTGGCATGGCAGCTAGGCACCGGAAGGGTGTTACAGCTGAACCATTTATTATTTATTATAGGGGGGAAAAGATCGGAGTCAGCCCGAACTTCCAAGCTTCTGTACTTGGTGATCCTGTGAATAGGGACGATGTCGCTTGCTGAGGACGAGAGGAAGTAAGGAGACTATGAATTTCGGATGGACATACGGATTGTCCACAAGGGCCTTGTGGGGCGTTCATGTTCGGGTCTGAAAGATACAGGAATCGAAAGCCCATTTTTGAGTATGAGGATTACTGTGCCATATTTTTGAGCTGTGAGTGTCAAGTAACACCATTCAATCATGTGAGAGGGGACATGGCAAGTTATTAACGATAAGCATTGGCATGGGGTCTAGTACTGATCCTTGTCGGCGACGCGGGGGTATGAAAATTGGATGGAAACTGAACCATGGACGCGCATTTTGGAGGATCAGTTAAGTCTTCGGCCTGGAAGTCGTGAATATAGTGGAGGTTAATTTTATTGGTATTGGAGCTTTGTCCAGCGATTTGCTTGCCATTTTTCTTTTAGTTTGCATGAGATGCATATGAGGCCATTGGGACGGTAGTTAGTGGGGTCATGACAATTGCCACCTTGGTAGGCAGAATGGATCGTTTTAAGCCTCCAGCAGGGTTGAGGGGACTTCAGAGAAAGAAGGGAAACAGAAGTCGATACTGTAGGTCTAGCACGTTGGAACATTCTTTAAGGGCATCCAGGGTTATCTTTCGAGGGTTACATCGCGAGGAGAGTTTGACCGTTTCAGTGATAGAGAGCATAATGGTTTCAATGCTAACCGACCTCTGGGGTACAGGTGTTGAGAAACGGTTACTGTTAGATCAGGATTTAATACGGTTGTGTATAGGTTGTCCAAGGCTTGCACCGGGTCCTGTGGGGTGGGAGCAATTTAATCCTCTGAAATTTATAGGAATAGTGGAGAAAATTTGGTTTTCTGTAAGGGCTGGTAAAGCAATTTCGGAGAAGCCTATGTGCGGTATAGTAGCAGTGTATTCTGTACCATTTCACTGCAGGGACACCTTCCTAGCGGAGGCTGAATTAGGTCTCAAAATCCCCATTAAAGTGGGTTTTAGCGTAGCGTGCTCGCAGTCTGCTGATAGGACCAGTGAACCTCTTCCGAGTGTCTTTTAACTGAAGTGTGAGCTCGTGATACCTCAGTGGCTAAGAAGCGAACTTACTGACCCTGCATCAAAACCTCGACTTCTCCTGTCTAGGCTCGGGAAACTTGGCAGTATACCGCCCTCTTTGCTTCCTGCGGGTGGCATGACAACTATGCACCGAAAGGCTCTTACTGCTAAACACCCTCCGACAATGAGATGAAGCGTTGGCATGTTCCAGAAGTATATAACGATATTTCGGTCCCCAGGTATTTTTGGGGGATATGCTTGATGGCTAGCCAATCAAGCTATCCCAAGTAGTTTATGCTGGTTTACTCACCTGGATGGTGTACAGAACACGCAGTATTGGCTATATGACCTAAAATTGCAACCTTGATGTGATGGTTGGGCTCGAGTGCTGCAATGATCCCACGGGTTACGCTGTCTGCAACTTCGTTGCTGTTGCGAGAGCTGAGTGGTTTCAAGTCGACATTAGAAAGAAGACAATAGAGGGGCATAATATACGGTTTCAAGCGTCCAATAACAATGGTACGTGAACTGAAATTTAGTGAAGAGCCTAACGAGAGACAGAGAGCCCTGGTGTATATCGAAAGCTCGGGAGATGGAAAAGGCTTTTGCTATGGAAAACGCTCGTGTCCTGTATCAACTGATACGATTGACTTGCCCTAGGAAGCAATGTCAGTGAAACGATAAGTGAAAAGGATGGCTAATTCATTCGCAAAAAAGCCGACTGGAAAGATGGGCCGAGCACTTTGAAAAACAATTCAGCTGGCCTCCTGCAACACAGCCTGTGCAGATAGTGCATACGGGCGAATGGATTGTTAACCTTGATCGCCCATCGAAAGAAGAAATAAAGTACAAAGCATCCATACTAAGACTTTAGAACGCACCCAGACGGGACGGTTTCTATCCAGCCCTCTTCAAAGAAGGTAGAGTCCCTGATGACCAATCTAACAAAACCAATTGGTGCGAAATAGAATGAAGGGAAAGTGCCCGTGGAATGGGCGTGTTGACATTTGTCCCTATCTTCTAAGAGGTTACGCGGACGCTGTGTGAAAACCACCATGGCACCAGCCTAGTAGCTGTGTCACCGAAGTTGCTCTCTGGTCTTATCCCTCGAAGGTTGACTGGACACAGAGAGAGTGGCAGATCCGTCAAAACCAAGCTGGGTTCCGTTCTACAGGAGGATGCATCGATCACATCTTCACGTTCCGACAGATTCTGGAACAGCGGCACTGCTTCCAGCAACCAACAATGGTTGTGTTCCTTAATCTGAAGGCTGTCTTTGACTCTGGATCTTTAGGCACTGTGGCAGCATCTGTGGAGCGAAGTTATCCCCCATGGATTCTTGGCCCTCCTTAAGGTGCTGTACGCCAACACCCGCGGACGTGTAGAGGTCTACGGGAACCTCTCTTCTGAGTTCACCACATCAAGTGGTGTTTGACATGGGTGTCTTTGCCGTGTGCTCCGTATGCCACTTAACTTCCTCGTAGGGTTGAAACGAGACAAGAAAGTTTAAACGATGACTGGGCAGTGAAGTACGGACACCATTACCAGCAAGTTCAGCTGCGCTGGTCATTGCCGTCTCCCTGGATGGGGACCCTGGGACGCGTCGCATCAATGGCTAGAGACATTGTCAGACATGCCTCAGTCGCGCTCTCAGTGACGCTTGTGTATCCAAACTATTGCCTTCACTGCATAGCTCCCTTCCTAACCCCCCATCTAAAAGTCCTCTGAAAAGCTTGTATTTACGCACCAATTTGTCTGCTTGTGCCTCCAATGCGCAGCTATCTATCCTATCTCCCCAAATCATCGATGAACAAAACTGTGGCCCGTACAGCCACGAACTTTGTGGGTGCACTAGGGATTACAAGAGACAAACTCCACTTCCTCAACCAGAGGGTCATATTTGGAGAGACGATCATTGCGTTTTAAAAGGATTGGCTGATCGTCGTGTAAACGTCAAGGAGGACAACCACCCATCGTGTGGCAGGCATGTCGCGTGTTTTTAGAGCCAGGCAGATGGTCTCCAAAGGGCACCATTAAGTCGTTCAACCTGACCATTACATTGTGGATTAAATGTAGTGGTATGACTGGTGGACAAAAATTGTTTGTTCAACTGACATGAACGCAGAACCGCGTGAATATAAGCAGGCATAACAAACAATGAATCACAGTGGAAGAGAACACGTCAGCGTGAAGGGAATCGAGAATACTCGTCAACGATTGTTGAGAGGTACTTATTACTAGCGTTTGATGCAAGCGGGCTGTTAAAGTCGATACTAAAGCGTTCAATAGGTTGTGTGGCTTTGATAAGCTGGCCACACAAAGTGTAACAAAATGTTAGTTTGAGTTTCGTAGCATGTGGAACAGTTAGACAACACACGTCGGATATTACTGACTGAAAAAGAAAGGTTCTTAGAAAGAACGAAATGTACGAATCCTGTGACTCCGGAATGGCATAATATGTTGTGAAGCTTCTGAAGTTTCTCCTTCCAAATAATTTAGGCACATAGGTGCAAGATAAGACATCAGCAACGCGTTGTCTGTTGTTGGTCTATAGAGGACGTCGCAGTTGTCTTATTCGTTTTTCCGCCGTTCAGTCTTATCATTATTCTACTTTTCTGTTGGTCCCCGTGATAGGAGCGACCGAACGTTGATCCGTAATCAGTTTAAAATATATATCAAGGAGATGGTGGTGCCGCCTGTTGATTGCTTTGACGTTGGTGTATACTTCTTTTACGACGGCAAAATGGTTTTTCTCGCTTGCGGTCAAGGTCCTGGAGAAGAAGGCGACCGGCCGGTTGCCCTGGCGATGTCGGAAGCATCCGTCTCGACGACGAGAGGAATGCTGTAATTGTTTTTTTTTCACCTTGAAACTTAGGCCTGAAGTGCCGCCTGTTGATTGCTTTGACGTTGGTGTATACTTCTTTTACGACGGCAAAATGGTTTTTCTCGCTTGCGGTCAAGGTCCTGGAGAAGAAGGCGACCGGCCGGTTGCCCTGGCGATGTCGGAAGCATCCGTCTCGACGACGAGAGGAATGCTGTAATTGTTTTTTTTTCACCTTGAAACTTTAGGCCTGAACATTGTTGGATGATTTAAAGCACCTTTAGTATCGGTAGCTGACTAGTAAAGCAGCCTCTGCGGTCGGACACTGAATTTACTCAACATCATCCTCACCATCGACAGCAACACCAGATTAAAACGTTAGTGCTTTTCTGCCGTACAGTTTGCTCGAATAAATCCTCTTAATCGAGAGAATAATGAATTTATTAAATTTGTTACATGCAACCGTGAATTCGACTGCCTTTTCTTACTAGTTCAAGTGGGTGAGGTTAGCAGTGCATTATTACACTCCTAAATTGCAAAGGTGCTAATCCATCATACTGTGTATCTTTAACATTTAGCCACGGTCTTTCGATATGTTTTCGTTTAGTTTTGAACTTATCTTCACATTCTTCGTTTATTATCCCTGCAGCCCTTCAACCTCTTCAACCCCTACTCCTCAATCCAATACCCAATTCACAAGTAGGAAAAAAAGGACGAAACCCATAATGCCTCTTTCGTAGCTTATCAGACACTACGCAGCTGTTCCCAATGTTGCTCCGGGTGCGAAGAAAGCTTATGTCCGAGATAGACCCCATATGAACATTGGTACAATCGGGCACGTAGACCATGGAAAGACTACATTAACTGCAGCAATCACCAAGAGTACGTCATTTCGTTGTCTGTTGCCTAATTATCCTGTCTATTCAGTCCTTTCTGAAAAGAAACAGACCATTTTCCGCAGTTATGAGGAAATTGACGCCGCACCCGAAGAGAAGAAACGCGGAATTACGATCAACGCAGCTGTTGTCGACTACTGCACAGATAATCGACACTACGCCCATACCGATTGTCCTGGTCACGCTGATTATGTGAAAAACATGATTACTGGCGCTAACCAGATGGAGTGTGCCATTCTGGTGGTTGCAGCCACCGATGGTACAATGCCCCAAACCCGTGAGCATTTGTTGTTGGCCAAGCAGATAGGGATCGAGAAACTGGTTGTGTTTATCAATAAGGCCGATGCAGCGGATCCGGAAATGCTCGAACTGGTCGAACTTGAAGTGCGAGACACTTTGAAGCAGTACGGATTTGATGGGGACAATACACCTATTGTCACTGGCTCCGCGCTGTGCGCTCTGGAGGTAAGTAAGTCTTCTCTTGAGCTCGAGACGTCTCAGTGGTCAAGGCGCGAACTTACTGACCAGAAGGTCCGTGGTTCTAACCTAACCTCTGCATCTCGACTGCTCCTGTCTAGGCTTGGGCTACCTGGCAGTATCTCAGTTCTCGCGATTTCTTCGGGTAGCGTAGCAGCTAGGCTACAACTGAACCATTATTATCATTATATTTAACTCCTCCAGGGCAAAGATCCCCAGGTCGGGCGAGAGAAGATCTTAGAGCTACTCAATGTGATTGACGAGGTTCCACTGCCAAAACGCGAGAAGGACAAGCCCTTCTTGCTCCCTGTTGAGCATGTGTTTTCTATCACCGGTCGTGGCACAGTCGTTACGGGTCGGATCGAACGAGGCACAATTGCTTTACAAGCTCCAGTAGAAATTATCGGATACAACCAGTCTTTGAAATCCACCGTAACAGGTAGGTTTATGAGTCATTCTCTTTCTTTTTGCTGAAACTCTTTGCTAGCAAGCGAGGATTGTAACCACTTACTTCAAGTCTATCCGATTGTCACACATCCTTATATCTCTTCATTTACGTAAGTAATAGACAGGGGTTTTCAGCTGCCTCACCTCGTTTTTTCGTCTTAACTGTGAATTTCGTCTACGCTGAAAAGCCGAGAAACAATGTACAGTTGTCTCGTGCTTGTTTAGAAACGCACCTCGCAAATCTCTATAAAGATCCAAACTCGTAACCTTCTGGTTACGAGTTCGATCATGGTACCATTCAACAGTATGGCTAGCTGTCTATCAGTAGCCCTCTATTTCCAATCTTTTCCCAAACAAGGTATTGAAATGTTTCACCAGCTCCTGTCTCAGGCCGAAGCAGGAGATCAAGTTGGTTTGTTGTTGCGAGGTATCAAACGAGATGAGATCCGTCGTGGTCAGGTCGTATGTGAACCAAAGTCCCAGTCGATGCAAAACTACATCCAAGCCCAAGTAAGTAGTACTTTTCTCTGCGGTGTTATGTGTTGCGTGGCTCACCTGGCTAGTTTGTCATGTGTCTGCTGTTCCAACAGTTATCGGTAGGATGACCAAGTGCTCCACTTTTTCACAGATCTCGGAATAGTTCCTTAGCACCTCGAGCCCAAGTACTCAACATGACCTAATTTCCTGTTCCAGTTCCATGGCCGAAGTGGTTAGAGCGCGGATTACTAACCTGAAGGTCCGCGGTTCGAATCCGACCTCCGCCACTCGACTTCCCCTGTCTAGGCTTGGGCAACCTGGCAGTATCCCAGCCCTCGTGCTCCCTCCGGGTGGCATGGCAGCTAGGCACCGGAAGGGTGCTACAGCTGAACGCTTTTCCATTTTCACAATGTTTGATGCTATTCGACCTGATTCATCTCCCCCTCAGGAGTTTTGAAGTACTAAGTAATCATTTCCAGCCACATCTATTTATTGCACGTGCGCCTGAAAAACAGTTATGTTTTTTTCGCAAAAACTTGTTTCTCCGATCTGAGCAAACCAACCGTGGTTCGAGATACTAGGATTCCCGCCGTATACTAGTACACACAATACTTCCAAGAGGGACTGTAGGGTGACCGCGCTTCATGTCACGTTGGGCGCGGAACGTCTTCGTAGATTTCCCAAGAGCGTGACTTCCTTTATTGAAGGCTCACATTGATGAATTTCCTCCTTATTGTGGCACTCGTTATTCATTATCATCGACAGCATGATATCAGTGTTCAACACCGATGGTTTACTGCCTTCTTTTGCTTACTGCCGCCGAAGTTGGCCTTCCATTCCACCGTTGTACATCAGTCTTTTTCAGACGGGCGGTCATGGGATGAAAACATATCATGGTCATTGACAACAGGACACCAGTAACAGTAACTGTCATGGGGAAAGGCACCTGACCTTTCCTTCCACGTCAACGATTAACACACCGGATTGTGATCCACGAAGAGTATTCCCGTGGGTTTTCCGTGGGGGTAGTTCATCTTCAGGGAGGTTGTGCAACGACTCGGTGCCAGTGTTCCCACGCTGGTGTTGCCGTTTTTTCGAAGATAGGGAATATTTTTTGCATTCCTGATTGTTAAACGGGGGCAACTTTGGTAGCTTCAATTTTAATGTGTATGATAATGGAAGTCAGAGGTGAGAAGGGCTCAAAAATTAGCGAGAGATGAGTTCATTTTTGGCTTAAGTATTCTCTGAAAAGGGTGGTTGCCGTCTTCCAAAAAAAAAACGTTTTCACTAGCTCTCTAAAGAAGCACCAGTTTGCGAATACGTAAATGTGTTTCTTGGTAAGCGGAAGGTTCTGCCGCATACATATTTGGCTGATGTTGGTAATCTTCACTTAACTGTTTTTTTTGTTCGGACCCATTTTACCTGTTGCTTCCCACTCACTATTGCCTTCTAGGTGTACATGCTGTCCAAGAAAGAAGGTGGTCGTGCCAAACCCTTCCTTAACAGGTATCAATTGCAGGTGTTTAGCAAGTCGTGGGATTGCCCCGCGTACATTATACTGCCGGAAAACAAGGAGATGGTCATGCCTGGAGAAGACGCTACGATCGAGTTAGACTTCCAAAAGAAAATGGTATGTGACATCGGGATTTCATGTGGCCAGTTTTTTTGCTGAACTTGTGCTAATCGGTTTGGCAATATAATGAAGACCATCGGCATGCGTCCGTGTTGGACAAACCACTCGATCCGTTATTTTACCTGTTCTCTGGCTCATATTTTTTGTAAGATTCTTTAGAGTGTTCTTGCGCTTCTAAGGATCCACAAAACACAATGATGGGAGCTTCTCCGGCTTTCTTTTGTTAATCCTTCAGCGTGAGAGCACCACCTTTTTTGATCATGGAAGCCACTTTTCAGTTACGCCATGATGGGCCACGCAGCCCAGACTTGCCTCTGTGTTAGTTTCAAAGCCCGTCTTTCTACATGCTGACTGAAAGTACATTTGGTATTTGATTCTAAGGGTAAAAAAATCTAATTAAGGGTTGAACAGAATTTCCATTACTACCGTTGGACCAATATGACCTCATCAGCCAAACCTACCGGATCGTCACTGACTAGAGTCTAAGGTTTAGATCGCTTGGTACGTGGTTACGGTAACCTGTCGAACCGGTACGCCCATATGTGAAAGCAGTTGCACACGAAACAGCCACTTGAAGACAGATGAGAACTGATATAAGATATGGACAAGAGTATAGCAGATGATCCATGAGGGCAGACGAGGCTCATCAACATGGGTAATCGTAGACTACCGTTTTGACGACTTCACTTCGACCTCAGGTGGGTACTAGCTCCCATCCTGCTAATCTCCAAATATGTTCCATATAAAAATATTTAAAAGGGTACATCGGGTAGACAATGTGCTCATCTCTATTTAGATGTAGGGCACCTGACATTATATTGACCCTTAGCCTTCCTGCAAGCTACAAGCTGCATCGCGACTGAATAATTTTTCGCATCTTACAACTCGCTACAAATGGTTAGCATCTTCTCAGCGAGGTTTTGAGTCTCCGTTTACCACACCTGGTTCCTGTCATATGCCGGAATGCTTCGCGAGCGTTTTTCAAGTATTGTGTGTGCATGGGTGTTTGTTCCAATTCAACCGCACATCTTTTCTGGTACGTCAATGATTTTCAATCTGGCACGACTTGAGCTCATCCATTCTCTTCCTTTGTAGGTCCTTGAGCCAGGTCAACGATTTACATTGCGCGCCAGCGGAAATACTCTGGGCTATGGCGTTGTGAGCAAAATACTACCTGATCCAGGTCGCGGAAATTGGGATGATTGATCAACGGAAGAGTTATGTGTACTCATGCTGTGCGCATTTCCGGTCATCGTAGCTTTTGTATCTATCGCGCCGTTTGACACGTGCATAAATGCCCTTATCATGTCTTACGAATTCTGATTACGCAGCCTCCATTATGACTCACAGACTTTTCTAGCTTGTTATCAGAAGTTTGACTATGCAGAGCTTCCTCGTTTAGAATCGTTGTATTCAGACTTCCGCCGTGTTCCACCGACTTGGTGCTTTTTCAGCCACGTGGACAGGCTGCTACAACAGGGAAAAATGGACACCGTTGTTTGCAGGTCGATTGATCTATCCTGAAAGAAGTAACACTCAGTAGTACCTACAGAGGAACGCAGGGATCGAGCAAATACTGACCGCGAAAATAAATCATGACGCGGACCTAAGCTGCAGCTCAGCAGCTGTTGAATGTCGGGAGCAGTCGAACCGCGGTTCGAAGTTTCAGTGAGCAGCATGATCCGGAGGCAAATCCGAAAGTCAATCGGAATACGGCACTCAATGGAGAATGAGCACACACCACGAACGCGTCGGTGTTTCCATTCATCTGCGTGGATTGAAGTCCCTCGCATAGTTTCCCGTTCGACCAGTCTGGATACACAGCTGATCTGGTAGTCAGTCAAAATACCACAAGTGTAGCTGAGTCTATTGGGAATAACAAGCGCTCACTTCGAACTGACCTACCGGACGTTCAAGTGTGAATCCTTGTTACGGCATCAAAGCAACAAAAAACAACTGTCAGACCAGTTGTTTATTGCGGCCGGTCCCCAAGGCAGTCGATCTGAATATGGGAGGGATTTCCACCCAGGTGACAATCTTAGCTGACCTGTTCGTGGTGTGCGCTTTCCTTATTCCGATTGTGCCGGGTTTGTCCTTGGGTCCTGCTGCTCATTACAATGTCGGTTTGTAAGGTATAAGCCTTCCTGTCATTTCCCCGCACTGACCTGTAGTTCCATTTAGCGCTCATTTTCAAACCGCATTCAACTAAGAGTCTTCGCCTCGTTACCGACTTCATCCACCCTTTCCCAACATTGGGACGTAACATCCTTTTCCACATATTATCGCTACAATCTTTTTCTCTCGGTATCAGCCGTTTCCCTAGGCGCCTGGTTGCCTTTAACCACTCTTACAAATTGACTGCAGCCAACTAGTTGACCGAATAGACTGTTGTTCCCAAAAGATTAGAATTGGGTACTCTTTACCATCCTAAGTGTTCTTCACCCCAGATCTTCAGAATGAGATTTCCCATGGAAGCCACCTGGACGGTCTCTTTGTTGGTTGTTTAGGCATTTTTATTCGAGCTGTTTCTGATCACCAGACCACCATTGTCCCTTTGTAAACCGGCTGTCTTATGAATTTTCCCAGTTTGGATAGAGGGGCACAGTAATAATACGGACGCTGATTATTGACCGATCTAATGCCTATCCTCGGAAAAATCCTCAGTGTTTCAGCTTTGGAAGTTTATTCGATTGGTTTCAATTGAGGTGAGCTTTGAAAAGTGCCGGGCTTCGTACTATTGTGTCCGATACTTTTGAGGCTACGAGCTCTTACTCGAAAAGTTGACTGTGGAGTTTATCTTCCTAGTATTGCCCAAATGTGTGGTTGGCACGCAGTTGTACTAAAACACTAGTTATCTCATAAGAGAGGTGAGTTACAGTAGTTCTCCTTATCTGGATTTTTCTCATGCGATGTGAAAGCGGGCTTAATGCAGACTCCATCTCTTAAATGAATGGGTTTCGGTGCAGCCTCTTCCCCTATCGCTTGTCCTGGATGACAACTCCATTGGGCTCACCATCCGCGTCGTTGGGGTAGTTCTTATCTGGATGGTTAGTTGAAATAGATGAGGAGAAGCCGTGTACAAAATAGTTTGCTGAATTTACAGGACAACTGAAGTCCAGAGACTACAGGTTTGTTCACACGCTGGATGAATATCGGGGTCGAATACATCCCAGTTGTAGTCGGTGAAAGGCGTAGAATGCACACGGGAATAAATTAGTCTGTATACCAAGAAGTCAAAACGGTGGATATGCACTTCACTTGTTTCACGGTTTACTCAACTTTCTGGTTCCAATGGAAACTGTTTTAGACTGTATGGACCGGCAATGGCGAGGTCCATAAGGTCTTGGCAACTTCATAATCCAGAGTACGGAAATACCTTTCTGTCTTTGTACTCCCGTCTCCGTTTGGGATGTCACTAAGTGGTTTTTTGTCGCGAGATGAACTTATAAATTTTTAAGGAATAAAGAGTATCACAAACCAATGCCCGGACAGCGGTCCGGGTAGTCGAGGTACATTAATCGTGGCAACATTCCATAGGTAAGAACACGAACCACGGCCGGTCCACAAACTAGGAGAATCACTCCAACTAACTAGCTGAGTATAGTTTGAACACCCGTCTTCAGCTTCCGAACTCACTATTCTCAAGCGTCATTTGTTTCTCACTCTCCAATCAATGAAGACACAGGCTATGCGACCAAGTATCCCGCTAGAATAAACTCCCAATTTGGTGATGTTCACCAATCCTGGGTATTCGCGGCATGTATTACAACGCTTTCGTGTGCTTTTCTGAGAACATCGAAGTGGGTATATCCACGATCCAGTTCTCAGAAAAATACGTACTGTTACGGTTGTATTATCAATCTCCTCAATGTTTAAATTATTCTGGTCCCTGGATCCCTTTGAGCAATGTAGTAAGAACAATGGTGTTCGAGGATGAATAAGTCTGGCGCAATATATCTATAAAGGAATGTAGTGAACCAAATTCCAGGGCTATTTACAGCAGTTCGGAGCTTGGATTTGACGCGGGCAGTCAATAAAACCAGGGTAATGTCAGAAGTAACATAGATCTTTCTGACCGCACACTACAGACCTGAATTAGTCATTCACCATTGTTAGCGGGATTTTCAATGCATATGGACGACTGCTTCACACCATGACCCGGAAACAACATTGAGTTTCCCCTCTATCCTGTCTCGACTAGATGCCCGGTGATCGGTGACTTTATTTTCGACTCGTCCCAAATCAGACCAAAGTCAGTCGGCAGTATATGAAGAGGTGGACAGGTGTTGTTTCGCTCTCGCCTCTACTTTCCGTCAGTTCACCCCCACAACTGCAGATGAATTGGTATATGCTCGAGATGGTTCAGTTATTAAGGCTCGAACTTACTGACTTGCTTCGAATCCTACCTCTGCATCTCGACTGCTCCTGCGTAGACTTAAGCAACCTAGCAGTTTCTCAGTCCTCGTGCCCTGTTCAGGTGGCACGGCATCTAGGCACCGAAAAGGTGTTCTGGCTGGACGCTTTTTTATTTATTTTGGATTATGTAATGTATAGTTGATAGAACGCTAAGTTTTGGCCAGCGTCACTGGCATAGTCCTTGTTTAAACCTAACGGTCAGTTGTATTGCGGTTTATGCTCGGCACCCGGCCACTTTTAAACTGACCAAAAGCAGTCATCAGTGTGAGGATTTCATCGCTTCTTAGGTGCTTTTCTTAGAATGATTTTTTTGACCACAGTACATTTTCTAGAGATTTGTCCTACTCAGTTATTCTGTCTAGAGTGGAACATAGTCATGCTCCATGGAATTAAGTTCGATCCAAAGTGGTTTTGCTGCATGGTACGTAAGCAAAAATTAAACTGAGGTATTGTTATCTTTCATAGTGGGTACATCATATTAAGGTGCACCATACGTACTTTGGGAAATCACACGTAAATATGAACACTGATTTCAATTACCGCTGTTTCGGTATGGTAATTTTTACTCAGATCGCACAACTCTGACGAAAGCTAACGCCAGTCGCACGTCAATGTGTCCCTGTGCACCAGCAGTTAGCGGATTTTCAGCGCTCACAGTACGACAGAGAATAGAGTACGCTATAAAGGTGAAGAAAATAACCGGGTTGCCGAAGAAGGCGCATTTTAGTGTCAAGCGCGAGCAGTCTACGATTCAGAGAAACGCGTGCCAAGTAAGAGACGGTGGTGCGGCGGTAAATAGTACTTCACTTCACCTGGTGGCCGCGTTAGACGCTAGCGGACTTCTTTTAACCATGTATGGGGTGACTAGCATCCAGTAAGGTCTCTTGAACAAAAGTACTACATGCCACAAAATGTTTGGATATAGCTAGGTTGCCGAACTGATGTACTAATTTAGGAGATGATCACCATGAAGGCGCTTACTTGGGTGCAAGAAAATAACGGGGATAATAAAGCCGTTGTGGAAGAATACAGACCTTCACAAACTATGACGAACTGACACGTAGAGGACATACTTCAAGATATCCTATTTTGTTGTAGGCTGCTTCAACATGACTGGACCAAGATAGGTAATGGGATAAAGTCAGACCTAATTGTTCGGTGGGCTGAATGAGGCACTCGAGATTCGACAATGTATGCCTAAGTATTTATAAGGGAATCACTCCTTTGTAGGACTACCCGCCCAAATTCACAAGCGCCTCAAATGATCAAAGCCTACGCCTCATTTCAAACCTCATCAGCACCACTATTACCATTGCTTAATACGAATTATGATAATTCGTTCCCTCAGGCCGTTTAACCTGGAGGCTTTCAGTTTATCTCATGCGTTAAGAACAGTCAGCTGGTTCGGTCCGTGTACTCGGATTCCTCTCTAATGATGTGCTGCTTTCAGGAGCTCCTTATCCAAGATCCCAATTCAGTGATCCAAAGGAATATCCTGCCTGTGAAAAGCGTGTGAAAAATAACACTAATCAGATACAAGCTTTCATGTAGGACGTAATATTAATGGAGGCTAGAGGTTTACGCCTCATCGAAGAGCCCCAAAAAGGATGACGCCACTCGTCGGCTGTCGAAGAGTGTTTCGCAGCCTTATCAGCGGTGTGTTCCGTACTGCACTACCTCAAGAATGGTTTGAAATGGGATGAGGCACCCTCCGTGTATCATACGCAGGTGGAGAGTATCACAAACGAGGCATTCAGTTGGGATTTAGTTGAACCCCTGGTTAACACCAAACCAATGTGAAAATACGTATTTCTCGGAATACATCCAATTTGGGCGCGTCCTGGAAGGTGACCTAAGGCAATCAGGCATCTAACCCCTGAAAATGTGTAAAATAAACAGTAAGAGAGCAGGATGGGAAGAGTATATTCATTCAAAACGGCTAGGAACAGCACGTCAAGACCAGAAATGTTCTGTAGGA